TAGGCTGCTGCTGTCACTATGGCAATGGTGGAGCCAGGCGACACAAAGGCAGGATTACGGTCGGGGTCCCTGTTGCATTATTCATCAACCAATCTGAACAGACATTCTAATACAGCGCGCCTTGGCTTTTATAGACAACATGAAAAGACACTGAAAACTCTCTTTCCTCATTGTCTCGTACGGAATCACAGCACTTCTTACATTTTAATAATGTTGTTGGCTATGAATAGGCCAGGGATAGAATCACTGTGACATCATGGGGATATAGGCTACCTAATCTAGTCGATTCATTTTATTTCAATGTCCCTACTTGGTCGACATTACCATTATATGTTATGTTTGACCACTTCTGCTTGGATGGGACGATGATGTCCAATGGTTGTGAATTGGAACCTACTTACAGGCAATGTAGTCAACCGAAGGATGGGATGTTAGGCTATATTTATTTCTCCATATGTCAGTAAAAAAAAACGTCTGTGTAGCCTCTGGAGACTGGAATCTCCTTAGCGCGTCGCTGGTCCGGGTTGGTGAGCTATTGTCCAACCGGCAAAAAAGATCCGTTTATGCCCATCACCGCCCAGCAACAGGGCACTGAAGACGGTACCGATGCGCCAAGACATGCTCAAACAATGTCAAAATGCCCTGATTAAATGGGTGGATATATAATAGAACATCAGCCATGCCAATAATATAAAATCATAGCTGCAGGAAAGTAGGGGTGCTGAGGGTGCTGCAGCAAAAATAAAATAAGTAATACAAAATAAATGGTTCCACAAAATTAGAAAATAAATGGTTCCATGTCTGGGCACCTCTTCTTGGACGCCATTTTCGGTCTTCCATAGTGAAGTGAACAGATGGTTAGGGGATAGTAATGAGGGATGTATAGGCATCTCCCCCTCCCCCACTCAGAATGATGGCTGTTTGAGCGGGTTTGGATGGGTGATAGAGGGGGTAATGGTAGTCAAGGCTCAGCCACATTTCCAGGATTTATGTCCCTGGGGCCAGCATGGTGATGGACTCTGGGAATGATGGACTCTGGGAAGGTCGGCCTTCCCGCCCACCTGCCTGCCTCTCTCTCCTGCCTGCCTCTCCCTTGTTTCCTCTGCTCTCCTCTGGCCAGCTGACACACATCTGCCACGGACAGATTATCTTTGAAGCGCAGTGTGTTAATCTTCAAACCAAATCCCCCCCAGCCTTTTTTATAGCAGTTTAGGAAAAAGCACACATAACAGTCATTTAAAAATCAATTTAAAGTAAATTGGAGAAATAGTGCATCTCTCTCTCTCTCTCTCTCTCTCTTCACCCTCTTCTTCACGCCTCTCGTCTCTCTCTCCCTCTCCTCTCTCTCATCTCTCTTCTCTCTCTCCCTCTCTCTCTATCTCCTCGTCTTCTTCTCTCGTCCTCTCTCCTCTGTTGCCTTCCCGGTATGCTCTTACCTCTCCCTCTTCTTCATCTTGTTCTCACTATTGGCTCTAAATCTCCATCCGTCTCTCTCTAATCCCAGTATTATACATTACTCATTTCACATTATTCATACAATGAGCTTTGTTCACTGCTAGGTTGGACACTTAACCAATGGAGAGCTGAAATCATTAGAACCTTGGGTGGACGACCTCAACCCCCAGCACCTCACATTGCTGCTTGGTAGAATCTCTGCACTCCATCTCCCTCCATCTCAAACAATGGCTTGCTCAGCGCAAAGATGCCTCTGCATGTGTAACATGAAACCCGTTTTAGGCACACCCTCCTTCCCAAGCAGCTCTAGGTGTTCCTTCAGGGGGATTGTGCGGTGACTTTGCATCTCATCATCAGAGGAGAAGCATGGGGAGAAGCAGAAAAGAAGACCAAATAGTGTTATCCCGTTCTCTCTGTCCTACCACCTGCACCCCCCTGCTCCAAGGTTCTGCCTGCAGTTGCCAACAGGGACCATTAACATAGGTGTCAGTTGGCTTGACCTGGCCAGCTGTTTAAAAGTGTATGTGAGCATTCCCAAAGGTTGTGATAATGTTAAGAATAAGTGTGTATCCTTGTGTTCTTGCATGTTCTAGTAGTATGTGTGTGTCAGCAAGTTCATATCTGTTCACGCGCCTCCTAGTGTGTCAGCGCACATCTTGTCTCGACAAAGCGAACCGCGCTCTGCAATGAGAGCGGAGCGTATTACATCACCGAGACGGCTTCTATAGTTGAACCCTGTCCTATTAGCATGAATTTTTCTATCTCTCCCTGTCAAAGAGGTGGTCCTCTGTAGCTCAGTTGGTAGAGCATTGGCGCTTGCAACACAAGGATAGTGGATCCAATTCCCTGGACCACCCATATGTAAAATGTATGCATGACTGTAAGTCACTTTGGATAAAAGCGTCTGCTAAATGGCATATATTATTATTATTATTATTATATATTAATAAAGAAATCCACCACACCACCACATTCAGCTAAACAAGCCCAAGAAAGAACAAAAGAACAAATAAGAAAAATAGATAATAAGCTTACTGATGGCTGGATTAATGTGGTCTGTGTGATGCCTTCCAAAGCTGGGAGTTTATAGAATCCTTGATTTTTAATTAGGCTAATCACTTAAACCAGTGGTTCCCAACCTTTTCCGCTTACTGTATACCACCAACTGAATTTTGCTCTGCCTAGAGTACCCCTGTGGTAACCTCTCGTGTGCATTTCACCAGTAAGACTATGGTATCATGAGTCTTCTCAAGTAGCCCTGTGGATAGGCCAAGTACCCCAGGGGTCCTAGTACCTCTGCTTTAAACCAATCAGGGGAAAAGCAGGAAGATAAAGGAGTAGTGTATGGAGTATGGACACCGGAGGGGACATGCTTAGAGAGGACAGGATCCCTGTTCTGCATTTTGATAACACACATGCACACACACAACCAGGCACACACAACCAGACACACACACACAACCAGGCACACACACAACCAGGCACACACAAATAGCAAGTGTTATGTAAACCACACACCTGCACACACGCCCTTTGTTCTTACGCAATGAATATTTATGTCTGAAAATGTGAGTATTAGCATTTTGTCCTTGTTGTGTGTGAGTGCATGTACGTTGTGCGTGTGCGTGTACGTGCTAGTGCATGCGCGTGTTTGTGTGCTAGTGCATGATGCAGATCTGTTAGGTTAGCAACGCTGCATCAATTCTCTCTCTGCACAGTGAGTGCAAGACTGTTGCCATGGCAACCCATCCCTCCTCCAGCCTGCCACCTGTTGAGCACAGAAATGAAAGGCTTTATGTGATGGAGGGAGGAAGGGATAGAGAGAGAGATGGAGAGAGTGGCAGAGTGATCGCTGGAAATCAATGCAGGGGTATTCAATTAAGGCTGAATGCAGACCCATGCATTTACACTTTCATAGATATTAATGAGTTGTATTGAGTAAACAGAAAAAGGTTAATGCATTATTCATAATGGTTATATAGTGTGTGTGTATGTGCGTGTCTACATATAGTATGGAGGTCCTCTCTTGAGGATTGTTTAGAGGAGCTCACTGTAAACTCAATGGAAACGAGTGATCAGTCAGACTCACTTTCTCACACACAACCTCATCATCCTTTTCACTTGACCATCATCCTTTGCTGTTTATCTCTCTCTCTCTCATGCGCTCCTAACTGCCATTCCGTCTACTCATCTTTTCCACTACACCATCCTCCTATCTTACACTCGCTCACTCTTGGCAACTCCATACTCTCTCTCGCTTACTCTCCAAGTGCCTCCCTCCACTCTATCTTTCAATTTCTCTCTCAACTGCTTTCTCTCTTTCTCTCCCTCTCTTTCCCAGAGATATAAACAGAGATATTTATTTGCAGCTACAGCCAGCAGGGCTGTACTTTATCTCACTGCTCTGGCCACCCTGACCTCTGACCCTTCACCCCTATATCCTTCTGTCTGGGTCAGCATACATTGTCAGCATACACTGTCTGTCACACCCAATCACTGTCCTCTTTACTGTCTGTCATAGCCAATCACAACCCCCCGTTTCATTTGGAGGTAGGCAGCGCATCCCAACTAACCAGGAAACAAAAGGCCCGGCAGCTAGCCAACACCAACCCTGTTAACATCGCCCCTGGCAACGCCAAATACCTCTCATTACCGCCACCCACGCCCTCCACCACAGGGGCTGGAACCTACCCCCCCCATTCACCTCAAAATACCCTTTAAGGGGTGAGGGGGTTCCTTATGTAACACTGTCGAACTGTTACGTCTGAAAGCACAAAGACCACTTTATCCCCTCCCCACCATCCCAGGCCGCCACACACTGCTCTCCGACAGCCCTTGGCCGGGGGTCCGCTGTGGCCCCTGTGAGCCTCATTTCATCTGGGCCAGGGGGACAATCAGCGGTGGAGGCCAGGGACAGTGAGGAGACCACATCTAAACAGGGATCTGTCCCTACCCTGGCAATGCCCATTCAGGCCATTGTGGCATCATGCCAGGCTGCCACCCTGCTGGACCTGTGGATCTAATGTCTATTTTATTGGGCATCCCGCATACCACAGCCTTGTTAACAGGCTCTGTGTCATAGTGGGCACAGTGTAGCTTGTTGGCTGGGATTGGGTTGGTGTTCAGGATGTTGGTTACTCATACTGAATAGGTAAGTAACCTACCTCTATCTCACGCAAGTCTCCCTTTGATATCAATCCATGATTTACACAAACGTTTTGCATCTGTAGGCCTACCTCAAGTTAGGCTTTAAATTACATTGCATTTTTCGGCTTAGTTATTCTACCTCAAATAACCTTCTTTAGATAATTCATGCAGGTTTTCTATTCTCTGATCTCCTAAAACTTTGCTTGATCACAAACAGTCACAAACTGCTTGTTCTCAAACGCAATATGAAGTATTTTTAGACTGGTATTAATAGTCTTGCCTTGCAACTGGATAAATCAAATCAGTGTCTTCACATTGTTTAAAGAGAATTAAACTGCTATTTGTCTCTGGTGTTTACAAGTCTTTCAATGGAAACCTCAACTCAAGTAACTCCAAGAATGGCGTAAGTGCCTTCATGTGTTCTAGTTTGACTTCAGAAACAGCTGCACATATACAGGCAGGCCCACTCTCCCTGCATGTGAGCAGAAGTCTCTATGACTAAACCTAAAAGGATCACTTCAGTTATCCTTATTGAATCAAAAGCCTTTATTTGTCCCTTGGTCAGGCGATGAGGAGCTATGTGTACCAGTGGGATATATGCTGTTTACAGTGGTTCTCTATCTATGGGTCCTGGTTAGGGTTGCAAAATTCTGTGAACTTTCAAAAAATGCACTGGTTTTCCCGAAATCCCAGTTGGAGGATTCCCGGAATCCGGAAACCTCCAACCAGGATTTCTGAAAGACCAGGGAATTTATTAAAAGTTCACTGAATTTTACAACCCTAGTCCTTGCCGGTGGTGCCCAACAAAATCAAAAGGCTCCTTGTTAATCCAATTAGGCTAACAAGACTCTATGTGAGGAGACATTTTTAATTGAAACTCACTTCAGAGAAGCAGCAAAGCTCCCTGGCAGACAGGCACACTGCTGCCTCCAATAGGATGGCTCTTCAAGAGCACTGCTGGTGTCCTCCCTAGAGAGAGAGAGACAGACAGAGAGAGAAACGGAAGGGGTTGAGAGAGAGAGAGTGTGTGTGTCTACGTAGATGAGTGATTAATAACCTTTCCTGCAGTCAAATTACCAAATCGCCCTCTAGTGGCCTCATGGGTGGAATGTTATTCATATTTTTCATAATTTCATAATTAATTGACATTATTTTTAAAAACCTGCTGAAAATCCGGTGTTTCTATGTCAAACGGTTTTGTTATATTTCAGTCTTCTGTGATGTATATAAAGTGTTATATTGGTATGCAAACTCAAATGTAATACATTTCAACTCTATTTCTGACATGGTACAGGTGTCTTCTTTTCTTTAAGCCCATAACCATGTGTGTGAGGTGTATACTTTTGTTTCCTGGCAAAATGTAGATTTCCACCTAAATAGACATACCCAAAAGTAACTGCTATTCATGTGTAATTACATGATTCTGACATGCAAAAACCTGGTATATTTAGAAAGAACACATCTGGGAGATTATGAGGAAATTATCAGAAAATAGATAGGAGTTACATAGTTCAGAATACACAAGATCAAAATAACACACACAATAAGTATTTTTTTATTTTGAAAGTCATCTTTCATTGACAAGCTATAAGTGAATTATTGATGACTAGAGCTTAAACACATCAGATGGCTTCCACAACATGTGAACAATGTCAGAAAAAATTATGGGATTGATAGAACTAACAATTAGAAATGGCCAGATGTTTTAGTAAGTGGTGTCAGGTGTGGTCACGGGAGGTTTCCAAGTTTCTGAGCCAGGTAGCAATAGTTTGCATTACGCATAAAAGGTTCTAGGCCTTGCTTTGTCCCACCCAGGTCAACTGCATATCCCTGGAAAGTTTATCTCATTGGCTAAAAGACTGTCAAGGTGACAGTAGCCAATCCCCTGTGTAATGGATGCCTACAGCGCGTAAGCAGGCAACATCATATTTTTGATGAGCAAAGATATAGTCACTCGGTGGACATTCGATGTTGCCATTAAGTCATACATTATCAGATAACATTGGTCTAGATTTGTTCCTACCAACCTAAGGATTCATTTGATACCCCCCATGTAGCTATAGCTCAAACACAGACCAAATCGAAGCTTACCCTGTAAGATGTTTGCTGTTTGGTGAAAACGTTGTGTAAAATAAACAGTTTGACTCTCGGGCTGGTGATCAATAACGGTAGGTCACAGGCAGACAAATAAGATATCCTCATGATCTGTGGAATCCCGGCTTTCGGTGTGTATCAACGTACTCCGTGTTGATTTCGTTTATGCTTCACAACACTAACCAGAATGTAGGTAGCAGCCATATTTAAATTAGGTCATCGGCTCGGCCTGCCCTTATAAATATGTATGCCCATATATGGTAGTAAGTCACACCAAAGATTTGAAGGCACCGATCAATAGCCAAGATACTCAGCTTTCCGCAGACACCCTGCATTTGCAGATAGGGGCTACCGTTCTCATACCAGACTGAATTGAATAAAACAAATCTAATAGGGTCCCCCAAATATGGGGACATTACATTTAAGAGGTTTAAGACTACCAAGAAACACTCTGTGTGACCCTGATTTAGCCCACTGCAGTAAAAGGTTTAAGAAGCCTTTGAAGATGATTTATTTTTATCTTGAAGTAATCGCTTGAAGATTCTAGTTTTGGACAGCCTATGATTCTCCATGATATGACATTGCTTATATAATGATTATATGACCTTTTAGAAGAGAGAACCACATGTATGGGATGTTTTACTTGATGAAAGAGTTGAACTCCTGTATTCCTGACATCATAACCCTAACAAACCCGACATCCATGAAATCTAGACATTAATACTGCACATAAATGACAGTCGTGCATCACAATACAATTTCTAAGGCTGTTAGCCCACTATACTGATATAGTTGTTGATGGTGAAAACAACAGGAAACCAAGACTTAGCCAAGGTTACTGTTTGGCCATTTTGCCAGAAACAATGAGACAGACCTTGTCTTTGGAACGTTACTTTCTCTCTCTGTTTGCTTTCCAAACATACAACTATAAAAGACACAAAGTGAATGAGTGGTTGTTAGAGCTGAACAAACACAGAAGTGTGACTAAAGTGTCTCTTTACCGTCGAAGGGAGCTGTCTGTTGAGTAGCCTTCTCCCCTGGGGACTACTCACACAGAGTTAGCTAGCCTGTTCTGTTCCCTGTAGAGTCCATCACTTAATGAGGGAATGCCTGTGTGTGTGTGTGTGTGTGTTTGTGTGTTTGTGTGTGGGTGTGTGTGTCCGTGCGTCTCTGTGTGAGTAGCAGAATTGAGTGTATCTGGTGGATGGATGGATTAACTCAAAATTCACCCTCATTTCAAAAGCCTCTGTTTCTCTGACTACAGCAGAAATAAGCCCAGGATTCCACCTGGCTGCTACCATAATACTAATGTGACGGCACCCATTAACAACCTTTATCTGCTTAGTAATGTAATACTCTATAGGCCTACTGTATATTTCTTACAAATAATGCTAGTATAATAGCAACTGGTTTTGTTGAAGTTTTGTGAGTTATTTGGTTGTCATGCACCACTTTTAATGAAGAAATAGTTATATTGTTTCATATGAGCTATTGGTTTGTGTGGGTGTGAATGTTTTTCTTGGACACCACGCTAAAACCTAGACATCACGTCACAAATGGCATAGCGCTTATTAAATATGATGATGGCATTTCTGTGAAAGAAAACATGTTGGTGTCTCTTACTGACAAGTAAGTCCAACACTCTTTCACTGAACTACATGTTTGTCTGGTTAAAGTAATGTGTCTCAATGTGTTTCTCTCAGCGCTGCTCTCTTTGAGACTGCAGGGTGAAGATGGCATATGACCATCTCCCCTCCAGATCACTCCACCCCCCACAGGGAGCCCCGGAGACCCTAAACCCCAAACCCCAAACCATAATCCCTAATCCCAGCTCCTTGCCATTCAAGTACATTAGTAAATTATTACACTTAATCCATGGGGTTCACCAAAGCTGCTTTAGGGGAGGAATAAGGAGTTACACTTGGCTGAAGTAATTGACCAGTGGATAACTATATGGCCAGTCCATCTTGGTTTAATTTGTTTTAGCATTTTAGCCTCAGGGTAATGCTGGACTGCTGAGCCAGCATGGGAGACAGATCCCGCCCAATGACTAGGGAATTGAGTCACGATATGTTCAGTCATTCACTGGCATAGTTGACACAACTCGTGTGTGGATTCTGGGCTGAAGCCTCAATGCATGTTTGTTTACTACAGATGTAGGATGTTAATTAATTTTGTTGCTGAGAATCGCAGGAAATGCAGGAAATGCAAACTTGTAGTGTATCCGATGTTTAAAAAGGCTTCTAAAGTTTGTAATTTCCACTTAAAAAATGTCAGACTTCACTTGCCTTAACAAAAAATGTATCAACCCCTACAAAATAATGTCCATTCATTATAATGCACATAATAATTCACATTTCTTGTTGCTGCAGGATTATTTTCATGCCGTAGCAAACTGGCTCAAATTAAGATCCTACATCTGTATCTCTGCCGCTTATAGTCAAGTCCTGTGTCTGTGTTTTGTATTATGAATGACATTTAGTGGACAGATTGATAAAAGGATATTGACTCATGGCTGTGTGTGGTTATGAGACCTGACCCCTGACAACATTGTTTTCTGTATGTTTGTAGTGAACACTCTGGGGGCCAATGTCACTGAGTTGGACACCATAGCCAACGTGACATCCCTGCCCAGTAAGGTCGAGGAAGCGGCCAAAGTGAATGATGTTGTTATCGAGGTGACCGGGGTCAGCAGCTCATTCAGCCCCGTCGTCACGGTGACCCAGAAGGTCGGTCGCATTCCCCGCTCCGAAGAGGAGCAGGGCAGCGGCATGCTGGGAGAAGGGGTGTTGCCAGCCGAGGAGGAGGTGGTAACCCCGCCCAGGATCAGCCCCGACTCAGCAGAGACAGAGCTCCTGCTGCCTAGCAACCCCCGTGGCACGGAGGAGGAAGTTGATGAAGAGGAGCACACAGACCCACCATGGCTCAACGGCGAAGACAACGTCTTCGGAATAGCCAATCTGGCCACCACCACTGCCCCGCCCCCCGCCGCCGCTAACCCCTCCCGCCCAGATGTCCTCACCGTGGACTTCTTCGACCCTGCCTCTCGTGGCCGCGGCCTGGACCTGGCCCCACCCTCTCCCTCCTCATTGGCCCACGAGCTCCAGGGTGGTGACCCCACTTCCTGGGCCATGCCAGACAACTATGACTACCTCACGCCGTACGAGGACGGTACGTCGCCCACCCCTGACGAGTACTCCTACAGCACCCCTACTGATACTCTGGATGGGGATGACGACTTGAGGCTAACTGCTGCGCCTCCATCTCGCTCCAGGACCAGGGCTCCCCCAGGTTCCGGCTCCTTCACCCCAGACAAGAGGCTTCCCAGTGGGGGTGCTGCTGCTGCTCCAGAGGGCCCTGCGGCCGCCCCTCCAGCATTACCAGTGGATGGCTCAGACGGGGCCGGTGGCTGCCGCCAGGGCTATGTGAAGCAGAATGGAACCTGCCGCTCCCCCTGTGACACCCTACCCAGCTACTGCTTCAACGGAGGCCAGTGCTACCTTCTGGAGGGGATGGGTGTCTTCTGCAGGTGAGAGATGGAATGAGCGCACTCACACACGCACACACGCACAAATACTCTGGCACACACAGCCATCATGCCCTTACATCATAGGCAAGGCATCCAGATGGAAGAAATCTAATTTACTAACATACCAGAGATAAACAACATGAAATTGAACCCAATCAAATCCATTATCTCTGTCTACATTACAATAACAGATATCTACACCCTTGACAATGTGTTTAGAAAGTATGAGCTAGCCTGATGAGTGAATGAGATGGAGGGTGGAAAACAGTTCCCCATCACATACAGAGAGAGAGAGAGAGAGAGAGAGAGAGAGAGAGGAGAGAGAGAGAGAGAGAAGAGAGAGAGGAGAGAGAGAGAGCGAGAGAGAGAGGAGAGAGGGGAGAACGGAGTAGAGAGAGGAGAGAGAGAGAGAGAGAGAGAGAGAGAGAGGAGAGAGAGAGAGAGAGAATAGAGAGAGAGAGAGAGAGAGAGAGAGAGAGAGAAAACCATGTATGTCCATGTAAATGAAAAATTGACTCCCATATGAAGCAGCTCAGTGCTATAGACTAGAGAATATAAAGCAACACGTGTTCCTGGACGCTTTACAAGGATTTTTATGAGGAAACGTCCATTGTTTTGCCAGATCAATTTCAACCATTCGGTTGTAGTGTGGTAGTCACGCGACCCACAAGTGCACAATCAATCACAGACAGACAGACAGACAGACAGACAGACAGACAGACAGACAGACAGACAGACAGACAGACAGACAGACAGACAGACAGACAGACAGACAGACAGACAGACAGACAGACAGACAGACAGACAGACAGACAGACAGACAGACAGACAGACAGACAGACAGACAGACAGACAGACAGACAGACAGACAGACAGACAGACAGACAGACAGACAGACAGACAGACAGACAGACAGACAGACAGACAGACAGACAGACAGACAGACAGACAGACAGACAGACAGACAGACAGACAGACAGACACACACACACACACACACACACACACACACACACACACACACACACACACACACACACACACACACACACACACACACACACACACACACACACACACACACACACACACACACACACACACACACACACACACACACACACACACACACACACACACACACACACACACACACACACACACACACACACACACACACACACACACACACATGCCCTAATTCTATTTCCATATTCTATTCTATTTTCTTGCCCTAATTCTATTTCCATATTTTAGCCATCATATGAGTATGGTCAACACTGGCCAAAGCTCCACAGCCTATCAGAGTCTCAACCACAGACAATGTATAATACCGTTTTGTGGTGAATTTTCTTAACTCTTAGTACAAAACTCCAAACTGGTAACACTTGTAAATCAGCAAGTCTTATATTCAAAACCTTTTATTGTGCATTTATTTTGTTTGGAGACTTTCACCACACAACCATTGATCCAAAATATACTGTACGTTTACTGTGAAATACCATGAGAACATTGATTTAATAATATAATAATAATATGCCATTTAGCAGACGCTTTTATCCAAAGCGACTTACAGTCATGCGTGCATACATTTTTGTGTATGGGTGGTCCCGGGGATTGAACCCACTACCTTGGCGTTACAAGCGCCGTGCTCTACCAACTGAGCTACAGAGGACCACAATTTTAATCACCAAAACACAACACAATGATATCTTCTGAATTTAGTTATTTTAACAACCAGTTAATCGAATAGCAAAAAATGAAAGATACATGTTTCAAAATTGCCCTTTGAATGCAGTAAGCTACAGTACTTTACATTACATAATATTACACTGTTTTCACATTAGGCAATACACTGGCACTACCCATCAAAGTTGACCCACCAAAAATGGAAAATCTTATTTCCATAAATCCTATCCTATGTGTGATCATTGAAGACATCTTTCACAATCATTAATGCAAAAATATATTGTTCAGATGTCATTACAACATAGGTGTACTGTAATCAAATGAAAGAAATGAAATGAATGAAAGAAACATAATGTTTAGCAGGCACTAGCTTGCATCAAGCCTGTCTTGAGCATTTGGCCATAGGTTGTCATCGACATCACAGTAAATGTCCTCATTGTTCATGCACCTGGGGATTTTTTTGGGGCATGACAAATCCAAGCCTGACATAGGTCTGGATTGATGTCATTGCATGCCTCATCCATAGCCTGGAGGAGGGTGACACGCTCATGGGGATGGCAATCATACACCTTCCACTTGTATTGTAATCATGTATTGTATTTTACAGTATTGTATTGTACGTATGTATTATAGTGGTCCTGTAAGTGGCTCAGTTACAGTATTAAGAGCTTGACACTAGCAACACCAGGGTGGTGGGTTTGAGTCCCACTGGGGTCACATACACCAGGGTGGTGGGTTTGAGTCCCACTGGGGTCACATACAAAAATGTCACTTTGGATAAAAACGCCTGCTTCGTAAATGGCATATATTACAGTATTACAGTACTGTATTGGCCAATGCAATTTTAGTAAAGCAAAATACCCCAGCAACTTCATTTTGGATATATGTTTACAGTATAGGGGATGCATTACATATAGTACATCTCTGATCTTGTCATTATCAGATTTTTTAAAACTTACTGTGAAGTAAAATCATAATAGTCGTAATAGTGCATTACAATATATATCATACTTCACGTTTATACTTAACATGTGAAACATGTATTTCTAGATGAAACTGATTAAGGTTGGTCAAAAAGTGATTGTGTGATTTTGTGTGTTTTACAAGGTTCCCAATCCTGGTGCATTGATGCCAGGCCAACAGATCTTTATAGAGGTCACCATGAGGAGAAAGTCTAAGCCAGGTTACATGAGTAGGAAAACCATGACATGTCATCATGTTAGGTTGAGGATTAATACGGTTACTGGGATGGATGGGGGAGGAGGTGCTGGTTGGTTAGTATGAGATGTTAGACAGACACATCCAGTGGTATTCTGGCTCAGCCACCAAACGAGTGGCATTGATTCATCCATTACATCAGGTAACATGGGATTTGAACTGAAACCTTCCCATTATGTAGATCGGGTTTCAGAAAGGGTTTCAAATCCTATGTCTGATTCAATTTCAGGAATTAGCTTGAGTTTAAATGGAATGGAGCACTAAAACCCTAGATGCCTAAACTGTTGAGGGGCACAGCTGTACCTCTGTCTAAGACCCCTCCTTCAACAACACCCCCTCCTCCTCAAACTCATCCAACCCATTGTTATAAAACCCTTCTGGCTGTGAGTAATAGAGCAAAGGCACATTATGTAGATCTATGCCAAGATCTTTATTTCCCTTAATCCTGTAACTCACTGAATGAACCAATCAGCAGGGAGAGATCAGAAATTAGCGAGCATCTGTCTGGATTAGCATGCAAATGTATGCGCGGTGGCTAGTCCCTGGTTGGCCATCACCTCCTGACTGGCGCTGATTGAGATGATGATGGCAATGAGAGCTGGCACAGATGTATCGAACAGACAGGGTCGCCATGCCAACGTGATTACCGTATTGGTCCGAATATAAGACGGCCTTTTTTCCCCTCGAAATAGGTCCAAAAAAGTCGGGTCGTCTTATATTCGGGGTCTAGTATTCAGAGCGCAGTTTCTCTTCTTCGGCGCTCCCTTTAAATGTCAATACACATTCGCGGGCACAGATGGCGCCAAAAATTCGTTCCGGACGGAGGGAAGAGGCGTCCTTAACAACCAGCCCGTTACCGGTGTTTAAAGATGGAAAGACAGGCTGACCATTTAGAGACAAGTGGCTCAAAAGTGGGCCAGGTCAATAAACAACAGCGGAGGAGCTATGATGCCAATTTCAAAATAATGGTTGTCAATAAGGCAGAGTCATCTAACAACTGCCAAGCTGCCAAGACATTCGGGGTCACTGAGTGTAATGTAAGAAGATGGCGAGCAGAAAAACAACGTCTAAAAGATGCTAACAGTCAGCGAAAATCCTTCCGTGGTCCTCAAAGTGGTCGTTTCATTGAGGTTGACCGGAGGGTTTTTGAATATGTCAGGGAAAAAAGAAGTGAGGGAATGCCCATTACCAGAGCTGTCATCCAGGTTAAGGCCCTGGAAATCGCCAGAGAGCTCAACATCACTGGATTTAAAGCCAGCCTCGGCTGGTGTCGTAGGATGATGCGGCGTAATGGACTGTCACTTAGACGGAGAACGAGTTTGGCCCAACGCCTGCCGTCAGACTTCGGAGAGAAGCTGCTTTCGTTTCAGCGCTTTGTTATCAACCTGAGGAAGAAGCACTCCTACCCGCTGGATCAGATCGGCAATGCTGATCAGACACCCGTTTATTTCGACATGCCAACATCGGTGACTGTCAATAGAAAGGGAGAAAAGTCTGTGTTGGTGAAATCAACGGGCAACGAGAAGAGCCGCGTCACTGTCATGTTGACATGTCTCGCTGGTGGCAGCAAACTCCCCCCGTATGTCATTCTTAAGCGTAAGACTGTGCCAAAGGACCCAATGCCAGCTGGCATTATTGTGCGCGCCCAGGAGAAGGGCTGGATGGAGTCGGGGCTTGTAGTGGACTGGCTAAAGGTTGTGTGGGGCGCACGCTACGGGGGACTGAGGAAGAGGAGGAACATGCTCGTTCTGGATGCGTTCCGCGGACATCTGACTGAGCCCGTGAAAAGTCAGGTGCGAGCAATGAACGGGGATCTTGTGATCATACCAGGGGGAATGACAAGCCAGCTACAGGTGTTGGACGTAGTTGTGAACAAGCCTTTCAAGGATAACCTGCGAAAAAAATACACAGAGTGGCTCCTGTCTGGCAACCACGCACTCACACCGACCGGGAAAATACAGAAGCCGTCAGTCCGTCTACTGTGTGAATGGATCCTGCATGCATGGGATGCTATTCCCTCACAGAGCATCATCGATGGCTTTAAAAAATGTTGCATCTCAAATGCATTGGACGGCAGCGAGGACGACGTGC